GGGGGGTCCCCGCTGGGGTGCCTGGCCAGCCTGGGTGAGGGGCTGATGTCTATTTGCAGGCTGGCCAAGGCCCCCAGCCACCCAAGCTCCCAGTGGAGGCTGGCTGGAAGCAGGTATCTGGGATTTGTTTATCTTCTATAATTGAAACTTTGTTGCCTTTAACAGAGGCCACAGCCGGCTCAGGGCTGGCGGGAAGCTTGGCTTCCTCCATCACCGGGGCAACCAAGCCTCCTGCTTGCTCCAGCTCCATGGCTGCCAGCGGCCATCTTGGTTGTGTTAATTTGCATACAGTCGCTCTGATTGGCTGGTGGGCGTGGCTTAGGGAGTAGTGAAGGTACAGTCAATTAGCATGTTTGTCTTTTATTAGTGTAGATGGATAATTTTATATTGCTGAACATACCGATCAAATAGCAGGTATTCAATAAATATTTTAATGAAGGAATAAATAAGTGGATATAAGCAGAAGCTTATAGCTGAAAGGAAACTTAAAGATCACCTAGTCTAAGTTCCCTTACATTGGAGATAAGTAAACTAAGTGTTTACAAAGATATGTGTGGTTTAACAAGTTTTTTAAAAAATCCAATTTAGGCCCTAGCTGGTTTGGCTCAGTGGATAGAGCGTCGGCCTGTGGACTGAAAGGTCCCAGGTTCGATTCTGGTCAAGGGCATGTACCTTGGTTGTGGGCACATCCCCAGTTGGGGGTGTGCAGGAGGCAGCTGATTGATGTTTCTCTCTCATCGATGTTTCTAACTGTCTATCCCTCTCCCTTCCTCTCTGTAAAAAATCAATAAAATATATTTTTAAAAAAATCCAATTTAGGAAATCTGGTGAATAGAAAAATAATAGTAAGAAAAAAAGAGCAGAGACATAGGCTAGGATCAGTGACAAAAAGTTCATCCAATCTAATTCCCCTCGTTTTGTGGAAAACTAACAATTACATTTCCCAGACTTCCTTGCATATCTGTCTCAGTCCTCCTAATGCAAAGGAGACATTTCCTATTACACCATTCACTGAGACCATCAGAAACAAGCTACTAAGAAAATACAGAAAGATAAATAACTTCCTCATGGTCCCTGAACAGAAAGCAAATAACAGCATGAATAAAGGTTAAGGGACATGGTATAATCATAAGATTGTGTGGAAACTGACGTGGCTAGAGTGAAATGTTTACATTGGGAAGTAACAGCAAATAAAGCATATTTACACACACACCCCCCTACCCACAGCCTATATAGTTGGTTCTCTAAGCAATAAGGAGCCACAAGCTTTTTTGTGGACTTCTTTGGCAGTCTGGTGAGTTCCATGGGACAAAAGAATACTATCACGAAAATATCTGGGAAAATTAATTAGGGCCTTGGTTTGAAAGGCATCATTGGCTTGCTGCAGTTATATCCATACATATTAAGTGTATGGTTATTTCTGTATAAAAGCATTTGCATATTTAGGAGAGAAGAAATACCTAAAAAATAGGAAACATTGTATGAAATAAAATACTGTACATTAAGCATTTGGTAAAGACAACTTTTTATTAATTTCATCAAATAAAATGGCTAAAATAAACACATTTTGACACTTTAAGTGATAAGTTGCAAATACACAGAAAATGTGTTTATACTGAACACCCATTGCTTGATGCCAGATAAATTAAATATTGATTCCAACAATAGTACATGACAATTTCAATTTATTTTTCTTACCTTCATGTTGTTTTTACAGCAAAAAGAAATCCTAAGTGCCATATAAGGAAGCCAGAAATACTTGGGGAGATAGGAATTTGTAGAAAAACATTTAAGTTATTTCTGTAACTGGGAGGGGGAGGAGAATCACTTTATTTACTCATTCAAGATTCTGAATTAGGAAACATTTGCAGATTTTCCATTTTTTTCTTACACCTCTCCTAATTCTTATGAAAAGAGGGACAATCTCTAGCTTTAAAGGGATTATGTAAAATTAGGGGGCTGCCTACATAAGTGAGTCTTATGAAGAAAGGAAGTTAGGGCCAATTGAATATAACATATTGAATAAATAAAGATTAATGAATGCAGAGTGATACCTGAGTGGAGGGAAGAGATAAGGGGGTGGAAGGGGATGGGTTGGGGTGGGAAAAGAAAAACTCTTTTTCACAGAATTCCAGTAATAAATG